GGGAACCTGAGTGAAGTGTTTTACAACCATTATTACATTTAGTCCTCATAACAGCCCTCTAAGGTGGATATTATCTCATTTTACATATGAGGGCAATTAAGGCCTAGAAAGATTAAGAGATTGGCCAAAGCCATATGGCCCTAGAACCATAAGCTGTGAAGTTAGACTTTTAACCCAAATCAGCGTAACTCTGCAGTCCACCCCAGGGTGCTGTCTCCAATAATAGTTGCTATTTATTGAACACATACTGTGTGCTACACACAGTGCTGAGTGTCTTATATAATAATCTCTCGTTTGTTTTTAATATGTGTTTTTTTAATTTTTATTTTTGGAGACAGAGTCTCTCTCTTTTGCCCAGGCTAGAGAGCAGTGGTGTGATCTCGGCTCACTGCAACCTCTGTCTCCTGAGTTCAAGCGATTCTTCTGCCTCAGCCTCCTGAGTAGCTGTGACTACAGGCACCCACCACATGCCCAGCTAATTTTTGTATTTTCAGTAGAGACGGGGTTTCACCATATTAGCCAGGCTGGTCTTGAACTCCTGAACTCAGGTGATCCGCCCGCCTCAGCCTCCCAAAGTGCTGGGATTACAGGCGTGAGCCACCGTGCCCAGCCTCTAATTTTCTTGAGGTCTATGACCAATGCAGGCCTTTTCTGGACATGAGATATGGGACAGGCAGGCTTTGACATATGTGGATAAAAATGACCACGATATCTCCATGAATTAGCTTAAGAAGGTGAAATAAAGCTCTTCGAAGCAGAGGATCTTTGTAGGTTGGGGCAATATGAGCAACGGCAGGGAATGGATATCAACAGGGGATAGGGTCAGTGTCCTTAAGCTGTCTAGGATTGAGGCAAGAGATTTCGACCAGATGGAAGGGAAGGAGGTGAGCTGGAGCCCCCAGGGCACAGGAACAAGCATGTGGTAAGTGTGAGCCCAGGGGCAGAGCCAGGCCTGCGGGGTGGAAATCACCCAGGGGCTCAGAGGGGAGAGAGCTTCTTGTCTCTTCAGTAGTTGTCTGTGGGTTTGGGCAACCATCAGGAGCATTGTAGAGGGAATTTCTAATTTGGGGAGTGTTGACTTTTGGGGTGCTGACTTTCCAAATTGCAAATTTGATATGCCTCTCTTCTGCCTGGCAGCATCCCCCAGATTCCAGGTGCTACCAACACAGTCTGAGAGAGCTCCTCGTCCAGGAGGACAAGGCTCCCACAATCTGCCGCCGACTGGTCACATCCACATTTTAGCCCAGGAGCTGTGGCAGCCATGCTCCTCCCCTGCCGTTTTCTGAACACTTGGAGAATTTCACACTCTTGGGCCTATGCACACACTCTGCAAATCCTTTCACCTCTCTAGGCACTTGTTGCGTCTGCTGAGCTGTGATTACTCATCCACAGACTGTGCACCCCTTGAGAGCACGGCCTAGTTGGGGTCACCGTCATAACTAGATGTGACTGGAGTATGGACTATGTGTTTAATGAATGCAGTGGGGCTATGGGACATTGTATGATCTTTTGAACTCTTAAGATCCTGCTATTTCTTTTCAGTTGGTGTTAAATGCAGGGTCTACCAGGTACAATGGCACGGTGAGGGTGGAGACGTGCAAGTAACAACAGCATTCATGATGCAGAGACAGCCAGGGGCTGGGGCCAACAACCAGGATGTGGGGGGGAGCAGAAGGTAGGGAGGGGGCCACCTAGTGACCATCAGGCATCTTGGTCCTCCTGTCTCATAACCCAAACTCCTGGAGAGAACGGGTAGGAAAAGGGGGACCAGAAAGCAATGGGGATGGGCATGGTGGAAATGAGCTTTGATTATTTCTCTCAGGATGTAGAATTAGGAGCCCCGTGCCCCCCAACCTTCACTAGGTATTTCCAAGGGAATGGGTATCCAGAGGCCAACATCCAGCCCCTCTCCCACCCAGCTCCTTCCATCAGCACCACGAGGTCAGCGGGCCGTGTCAAGCAAGGAGGACCAGTCCACGAAAATACCTGCTTTTTAGCCTTGAGGGAGCCAAGAAAACGTCATCGGAGTCCAGACGCCACCAAGAAAGCCCACCACAGACGCCTCTGTGCCCTTCCCTCTTTGCCCGTCAGTGGAGGTGGTAGAGCTGCCCCTCTGGAAATTTGCTATGTGACATCAGCTAGTGTTGCCACCTCTTTCAACCCTGGGCCTCCCAGGCTCCTCGCTCTGCACCCACATTGTAAAAAAGGAGCCAGAAACTCAGGCCAGCCTAGTTTCTTACGGTGGCTGGAGAAACAGGGTGTGCAGCTTCGCTTCTTCTGTGTGTCCCCTCTTTGTTCCTGGGCTCCACACACAGCGGGAGGAAGGAAAAGGGAGTCCATTCCAGGGAGGTGCTGGGGGAGGGCTCTTGTGGGAGCCTGGAAACCCTTTCTTGACTCTTGACCAAAGTTACTTTTCTTCCTATTTTTATTAACACAAATCCCTACGTGTGTTTGTGTCCAGAGAAAGTACTATGAATAACTGATGACACATTCGTTAACTTATGATTCATCCTGGGGGAGAGAGAGAAGGAGAAAGGAGCAGGAGCTTTGGAGGCTGAATATAAAGTGTTGTCAAATATTTAGCAAATGATCATCCAAGCCACAGGGAAAAAGTCAGAGATGGGAATTTGAAAGTTGCCAGGATTTAAAAGCCATTTAATGCTAACCATCAGTGCCAGAGAGCTGAGAGCATTTCTCTTCCTCCTTCCATTGGCAGCAACAGCTCCGATAATGTGGAAAGGCTTGGATGGGCTGCGGAGCGCTGGTGGGAACTGAGACCGGGCAGCGGGGCTGAAAGACTTTTTGTTCAAGAAAGCTTGTAAATAAGGGAGCGCCTCAGAGGTGGACTCTCTCTTGTCTACTGCCTGTACATTCTCTCTTTCAAGAGATCCCTGACCATCAGCTCTCTACACAGAAGACTAGCCAGTCATGTGGGTGTTTCAGAATATCCTGATGTTTGGCATCAAGGAAGAAAAAAAGAGCCATATGACTGACTGAATTTGTCACTTTCCTTCCAAATGTTTTGATGTTACTTAGACAACGGCTTCAGTCTTTGTCTATCTGTCATTCTAAAGGTTTGAGCTCAGAAGGGCTCTCTCCTGAAGGGTTAGGAACCCTACATTTTTAGGGCTGGGGTCAGTACTCACTTCTATAACCTGATTCTTTGGAGATACAGTAATTTTTAAGCAAAAGATGAACAAGTCTTTCTTGATATTTTGGCTTGAAAGCCTCAAGTCTGCAGTTATGTCTCGTGAGTGTAAATACCATAAGACAAGATAAATTAAGGAAGTGGCAGGGAAATTTAGGTCAGTGGAAATACGCGTCCCGCACAACAGAGGCCTCCAGACAGTTTGTTTACACCCATCAGCTTGTCCAACTTGCCTTATTTTGTTGTTGCTGTTTGGTTTGGTTTAGGCTTTTAGTAGCCTGAAGCCATGGTTTTTAATTTCTGTCCCTAGTGATAAGTGGAAAAGAGGGAAAGGGAAGAGGCTTTATTGGCCCAGTAAGAAACAGAAACTAAGAACCCATGACTGTATTCTCTCCCTTGGACACCCAGTAAGGCATTCTTCAAAGACATAGTATGATGAGTTCATGAATAGCCAATGCAAGTGAATTCAGTGGATTGAATCAACGAATCTATTCATTGTGCCAAGAATGAACAGATTGTCCTGCCTTCAGGAAACTTAGAATCTATTTGCTTGGGAGGCAAGCATTCCATTAATGATGCGGATAGTTAGCCTCTGAGTTCAGAAAAGTAAGAGATCTCTGGACAGAGTGGTCCCAAGGAGGAGGACAGGAAGGAGGACAGGAATAACCACAGCAAAACTGCCCTGCAGAAGAAAAAAGAAAAGTAGCTCTTCTCCCTCAGTTTTTTTTTCTTTCATTGTGTTCCTGTTATTTTGCTTCTCTGGAATGTCTTTTCTCCTCCTCTCTACCTATTCCAGTCCAACACTTCCCTGAGGCCCTCTTCAGCAAATCCACAGATTCAGTCTCTAGGATTCCAATCTTCATTCATCTTACTTCCTACAAACTCTTACCATTCACCTGGCATGGGATTTAATCTGTGCATTTGAATCCATAGGAAAAAAAGATGCATCTTTTCTCTTTAGTTTATAATAGGTAACTTCTTTGTGGCAGGTGTCAAATCTTTTTTATCTGTTTTAGAGACAGGGTCTCACTCTGTGGCCCAGGCTGGAATACAGTGGCATTATCATAGCTCACTGCAGCTTCAACTCCCGGCTCAAGCAATCCTCCCGCCTCAGCTTGCGAGTAGCTGGGACTACAGGTGTGTGCCACCACACATGGCTAATATTTAAAACTGTTGTAGAGATGGGGTCTCGAACAGGAGACCAGCTCAATTGATCCATCCACCTTGGCCTCCTAAAGTGTGGGGATTAAAGACTTGAGACACCATGCCTGGCCCAGATACCAAATTTTAAAACAGTTCGGTGTTCCCCAGAGTTTCTAGCAGTGCTCAGTTGCTGGCCACTGGCTCTGTGGGTGCACAGTGGCATTGATTAGCAGGTAGTATATGAATAGGCTGCTGGTGGTGAGTGAAAATCTCGGTTAGGATTGTGGAAGAAGACTGAATTCTGGGTAAGCCCAGGGATATACTGCATATCAGCATATCCAGGCTACAAAACACATGCTCTGAGCCGTCTGATTCTGAAGTTCCCCTTCCCTTCTTAGTTCTGATTGTTAAAGCAGATGTAGAGTTCCGAAAAGTTGTAAATTGAGTAAAAAATTAATTTACTGAGAATGGAAGTGTATCAGCAGTTCCACTCACATATTTTAAAATGTCTAAGAAAGAAAAGAAAAATAAAGGAAGAAGGAAAGGAAGGAAGGAAGGGAGGAAGGGTGCGAGGGAGGGAGGGAGGAAGGAAGGGAGGGAGGGAGGAAGGGAGGGAGGGAGGGATCGAGGGAAGAAGGAAAAGGGGGAAAAAAGAAAGCCCAGGGGCTAGGGTGGGAAACACACAAGACTCAGTAAATGAAATACTATCAGCAATTTCATAATATGGTAATTTTTAATATTAAAAGTAAATTGTAAATGTGTCTTTATAAACAATATGCATAAAATAGATCATATTCTAAAACCGTTTCTTTTTAAAATGCTTTTTCACAGTAAATTTCTTAGGTGTCAGATTTTCCCTCAGAATAGTGCAACTGGAAGAAGGGAAATGTTGGCAGCGGCTCAGGACTCTCTGCTAGTACAAGTCCTTGTAGATCTCCTGCAGGAGCGGGTGAAGACTCATGTCTGTCTCCGTCTTCTTGATCACCTGCAGTAGCTGCACGTGTTCCGTGACAATCTGTCTGAGGTCTGTCATTTTCTGGAGCAGCTTGGCAAACAGCTGCGAGGACTCAGGGTGGTTCAGCTTCAGCTGGAGCTCCAGGGCTTGTAGCAGGTTGTCTTGAATGTCTTCAATGGGCTTCACATTCAGCAAACCTGGGCGATCTGGGGAAGCACAAATGGAAAACACAACACGGGGTTCAGTCAAAAAATCCTCTGGGCCCCGCCTCGGAGGCCTAGGGAGCTCTACCAAGCAACTCATCCGTGGTTTTGGTTTGTTTTGCTTTGTATCTTAAATAGGTGGGGAGCAAGGGCAAGCAGATAATGGGTGAGAACTGAGGATGTAATCAGAACCAAAATAATCAGAGGTCTTTGCAGGGGCTTTTTCTGGCCAGGATGGAATCTGTGTGGTCAGCTGATGGAGCGTGGCATCAAAACAATTTCATTCCCCAAATTAAGTTTCCTCTGCTAACATGTTTCTACTCAGAAATTTCCTTTTTCCTTTTTTTTTTTTTGAGATGGAGTCTTGCTCTGTCTGGCTGGAGTGCAGGCTGGAGTGCAGTGGCACGACCTCAGCTCACTACAACCTATGCCTCCCGGGATCAAGCTATTCTCCTGCCTCAGCCTCCTGAGTAGCTGGGATGATAGGCGCTCACCACCACGCCTTTCTAATTTTTGTATTTTTAGTAGAGATGGGGTTTCACCATGTTGGCCACGCTTGTCTCAAACTCCTGACCTCAAGTGATCCACCCGCCTTGGCCTCCCAAAGTGCTGGGATTACAGGCATGAGCCACCACGCCCAGCCAGAAATCTTTTCAACTTCTGCTCCTTCCTGATGAATCCATGTTTTATAGCTTCTACTCAGTTTCTTATCATAGCTTCAAATATGCTCTTTTCACAAATATGCTTTTAAAAAAAGGCTTGTCTTTTTGCTTGATTTGCTTATGCTGTGTTTGCTTAATATGGCGTATTTCCAAACGACAAAACACAGTTTTAAAATACTGATACATTTTAACAGAGGTTTCTTTTGAGTGGCAAGATTGCAAGCAATTTTCACTAGTTCTTCTTTAGATTTTTTCTTTAGTTCAATTTGCAAATGGTGAACTTAAATACCTTTTAAATATTTTACTTTTTTCTTTATGTAGATCTTGTTAGATTTATTCTCAAATACTTTATAGCTTCTATTGTGAATGGACCCTTCATTTTCATTACATCTAATATATCCCCGCTGATGTGTAGAAAACTAATTGATTTTAGTATATTGAAACGATTCCAATTTCCTGAACTTTTGTCAGTTCGAATAGCTTTTAATCATGGATTTCTACTTTTTTTGGATAGATAATTGTATCAGCAATGGTAGCTATTTATTTCTTCTTTTGCATCATTAACCTTTCTCATTTCCTCTTCTTGCCATAGTGTGTTGGCTAAAACCTCCAATATGGGATTAAATAATAGCAGCAATTCTTGTTTTATTCCTAACTTTGAAGGAAATGCTTCTAATGGTTTATCAGCAACTATGATGTTTGCTATAGATTATGGAGGACATGTTTTACTCCTGGCTTATCCAGGGGTTTAAAAATTTTAATTTGTTTTAGTCAGGAATGTTGTTGAATTTTTATCAAATGCTTTTACATTTCTCTATCTAAAGAGCTATGATATCTTGAAGAGTTATGGTTTTATCTTAACCTAGCACAGTGAATTACATTAACAGAGTTCCTTATACCCTTGTAGTCACTTGCTAATATTTTATTATAGGGTTTTTGTACTTGTAGGTGGTACTGATTTAGAATTATTTTGGGGGCCATTCTTTGCCTGTTTTAGTAACAATGTTAACTAGCCTTATACACTGAGTTGAGAAGTTTGCCTTCTGTGTCGACATAGTAATGATCTGTTCCCTGACGGTTTCTTAGAATTTGTTTGCAGAACCATCTGAGCTTAATGATAAATCTATCATTATCTTTAATTTTTCTTCCATAGTTTTTATCTATTCAGGCTTTCTACTACTTATATGGTAAAGTTTTAGTAATTTATATTGGAATAAAGTTGTAGATGATATTGTCTTAGAATATGAAATGTATTTATTCATGCCCCTTAACTTAATCTTAACTTAATGCTTTTTCTTTTCTTTTTTTTGAGACAGAGTCTTAATCTGTTGCCCAGTGCAGTGGCATGATCATGGCTCACTGCAGCCTCCAACTCCTGGGTTCAGGTGATCCTCCTGCTTTAGCCTCCCAAGTAGCTGGGACTATAGGCATGAGCCACCACACCCAACTAATTTCTAAATTTTTTGTAGAGGTGGGGTCTTGCTACATAGCCCAGACTGGTCTTGAACTTCTGGCCTCAACCAATCCTCCTGCCTCAGCCTCCCAAAGTGCTGGGAACATAGGCATGAGCCACTGTGCCCAGCTCTTAGAGCTCTTTATTTGTGCATTCTCTCATTAAAAAAATCTGATTTGGCCGGAGAATGGCAGGAACCCGGGAGGCGGAGCTTGCAGTGAGCTGAGATCTGGCCACTGCACTCCAGCCTGGGTGACAGAGCAAGACTCCATCTCAAAAAAAAAAAAAAAAAAAAATCTGATTTGTCAAAGGTTTATCTAGTTTTTGCTTTTTTAAAAAAACATAACTTTCGGTTTTTTAATCAAGTCTGTTTTTAAACATTTTGTGTTTTGTTTTTAATTTATTGAATTCCTTTTTAAAACTTTCTTTAGGTTTACTTTCTTCTCTTTTTCTAGTTGTTTTGAGTTGAATGCTTAATTCATTTGGTTTGGTATTCCTTGTTTTCTAATAAATGCATTGAAGCCTCCACATGTTCTTCTTAGTGCCACTTTGGTTTCATCCCATGGGCTTTGATCAATGGTACTCTCATAGTTCTTTTCTAAACAGCTTGTCTTACAATTTTGATTTCATTTTTAACCTAAGAGTTATACAGAAGTATGTTTTTAAATTTCCAAGTAAAAAGTTTGGGTTTCAGTGTTTGTTTTGTCATCTCTAAGTTTTATTTTCTAATTTCCAGTTTGTTGCCTTGGGTTAGATTATAAGGTTTTCTCAGTAAGGCTCACCAAGAAGACAGGATATTCACTTGATCATCTATCTCGTATTGATTTCAAATTTGAGCTCTTGAAGGCTATTTATTTTCTTTTAAAAATTGTAACTCTTCTCTCCTTCATGGTATGAGTTTTACCCACCTTTAATATCCTTTATGACCTGGTCCTGGTCATCCTCTAGCCTCAGTTCTGTTTCATTTTGCTCCATGTTAAGCCATATTAATCTATTTCCATGCCAAGTTCCTCAAACACCCTATGTTCTGTCAGGACTCTGCACTTATTCAGATTTTATTCCTCCTGCCTGAAATGTTCTCACCTTCCCTTCACTCTTCTTATTGACTTCAACCATTTCTTCAAAATACAGACTGTGGTGGGATTCCATCCTGAAATCCTTCCTCAACAGTATCCCTTCCTCTCTCCTGTTCTTCTCATCTCCTTTCTCTGGGCCCCATAGCACCTTATAAACACCTCAATCACAGCTATACTAGTAGATTACATTCACTGAATGGTTATAATTTTCCAAAGATCGTGCCAAGGGCCTTATATACAATATGCCATTTAATCTTCACAATAACCCCACAAGGTCATACTTTACAGAGGGAGAAATTAAGACTTAGAGAAAAAAGTTGCATCTTACCAAGATGGGCCACTTGCTAGTAAATGCAGAACTGATATTTGGATCTAAGTCTGTCTGGTTCCAAAGGTTCTGTTCTTATTCCTTATTATCTTGTATTGTAAGTTCTGACTTTCTTGTTTCTCCCCCATTAGACCATGAGGTAATAGAGGGCACAGACTGTGTTCTGATCGTTTCTGAACCACCAGTGGAAACACAGGAAGCATTTGGTCGACTGAGTTAATGAGTGAGAAGGCTGTTCTGGCCAAGAGCCCTGGATCGAAAAGCACAATTCTCTCGGCTGGTGAACAGGCCTGAAGGCAGAATCCCTACACAATGAAGAAGTCTCCTGTAAACTATGTTTTCCTGTGTCTAATAAACTCTAGTAACCTTTATCCATTGAGATGAGGCTCAAGAGAACAATGTGAGATGGCAGAGTGGTCTCAGAGTGGGATTTTCAGAACTCTAAATATTCTTCTAAGTTAACTTTTGTATTTTTTCCATTAAAGAAGGAAATTGGTCTTTAGTTTGATTTTTTTCCCTCTCAGGTCTCCAACATATCCCATTGACCAGAATAAGTGTAAGTTTCTTTTTTAGATTTCAGCATTCAATCCTGGAACCATCAGCAAAAAGTCTCAGATTCTGAGAAGGAACAAATGATCGGGTCCTGGCCTGGAGAATTGGGCCCCTGGGAGCATGGGGCCTTCCTCACTGTTGCTATATGGGAATGAAAAAGCCACTGACACTTCACTGAAAGCTGGGCCCCAGACTGGCATCTTGGTTTAATGACTACGGATCCTCCGGCTTGATAAATGCATGCATCTCAAAGGCCAGAGGCAGACGTGTGTCTAAAGACAGGTGCCGAGAGAGGCCCTCCTGGGCTGGGACCACTCGGCCTGGGGTAGGCCTCTGCTCACTAGACACTAGCTCCTGAAACCTTTCTGCCGCTCCTCCTTCCTCCACCTGCTCCTTCTCTCTTTTTTTGGTAGAGACAGAATCTCTACATTCTGTAGAGGCTGCTCTTGCATGCTGGGCTCAAGAGATTTGTCCTCCTTGGCCCTGCAAAGTGCTGAGATGACAAGCGGTAGCCACTGCTCCCAGCCTCCTCCTTCCTCTTGAGCAGCACCACTGGGGTCAGCCCTTGGGCTAAGGAGATGATGTTAATCTACTAGGTCCCGTTTATCAAACAACCAAGCCCTAACATGCAACTGATCAGGGCTTGCTGGAAACACTTGGCTCCGATGCAGTGTCATGGAACTGGCCTCTCTAGGAGTGGAGAGGGATCTGGTTTGGATTTTCAAACCCCTCTTTGGCAAGTTATTCTTTATGATGTGATGGATGAAGCTTGGCTGAATTGCTGAAATTTTGTGGCCATGGAGTAAGTATATTTTCTGCAATGATAAGTTAGATCATTTACAGATCAGTCCCATTGTCCCCCTGACTGAGCCTCCGTTAAGGCAAGATGGTTTAGGGAAGGAGGGCAGCAGAGAAAAGTTGTATATTTTACA